AACTCCCAGAATCCCACAGCCAGCTTGCTGCCTGTGGGATTCTGGGAGTTGAAGTCCACATGCCTTAAAATTGTCAAGGTTGAGAAACACTGGTCTAGCTAAACTCTCATGCACATTCCTCCCTTCAGCATCATCTAACTCTAAAAGCAAAACATAAGAAGAAAATGGTTGCATCTCTTAACTGTTGTCAAAGCAAAACATCCGATGTTAGCAGCGTTGACATATATATATATATATTTTCTTAGGCACCTTGAGCGTGCAACAGTGTAGGGGGGACAACAGGGAAGCCCACCCATTATTTAAGTAGCTGTACACAAATGTGTGCTAGCTATGCTCTCCCACTTTACAGATGAGGAAGACTGAGGCCAGAAGCAAAGTCACTTGTAAAAGGGAAGGGACTGTCGTTTGCTCTCCCACAGTCCCCCCTTACCTCTTCTCTGGGGCTGAAGGACGCCAGTTGCTTGATCTTCATGGTCTGGTGATTGTTACACTTCTTACAAAGGAGAAGCTGGCTGCTGACCCATTGCTGAGGCTTCGTGGGGTCGTAAAAGGCTCCCGCCCCAGAAACCACGTGGTTTAGATTCTCCATGTATTGAGCTGGGATTGGCTTGTTGTAATCTCCATTCTAAGAGGAATTTACGAGGAAACAAAAAGAAAAAAAAAAGGAAGATTCTAACAAATCCGTTTTAATCGCCTTCAAAACCTCTGCACCTTTTATGAACAAATGCCTGAGTTGGGTGTTGTGTTTTGTTTTCCTCTCCCCCCCTCGACTCTTGTTCCTTGCATGCTGCTGTCTTCAGTTGATAAATTTGCAACTCACCCCTAAATCACCTGGAAGCTTTGTAAAATTTAGCTTCCCTAAGGCTTAATTTTAGGCGTTCCGCATCGATTATCTAGGCTGCAAAGTGTTTGTTATCGTGCTGTCGTTAGGTTTGGGAGCCTTTGATAATAATAACAACGATAATAACCTTTGTCATTTTTTCCCCTGTGGGCACAACGGCACACAATAAAAATGATCTTTGGGGCTAAAAGGCAGGATAATTAAACCTAACCTAAATATAGGTTGGTGCAATTGGGGTGAGGAAGTGTCCCCCCCCACATTTCATTCACCCTTTTCAATTAATCAGGGTCAATATGAAATCCACGTTTGCTTTAATGGTATCAATTTTATGGACGGGGGAAATCTCTCATATTAATTAATTTATCTCCTGTCTCAATTAAACTAATAATAATAATAATAACAATAACAACAACAATAATAAAAATAATAATAATAAAGTTGGAAGGGACCTTGGAGGTCATCTAGTCCAACCCCCTGCTCAGGCAGGAAACCCTATACCATTTTCTTGTGGAAAACGAAAGAATAGAATAGAATAGAATATAGAAGAGAGAATAGAAATAGAAATAATAATATAAATAGAATAGAATAGAATAGAGCTGGAAGGGACCTTGGAGGTCATCTAGTCCAACCCCCTGCTCAGGCAGGAAACCCTATACCATTTTCTTGTGAAAAACGAAAGAATAGAATAGAATATAGAAGAGAGAATAGAAATAGAAATAATAATAGAAATAGAATAGAATAGAATAGAGCTGGAAGGGACCTTGAAGGTCATCTAGTCCAACCCCCTGCTCAGGCAGGAAACCCTACACCATTTCGGACAAACGGCTGTCCAGTCTCTTCTTAAAAACTTCCAGTGTTGGAGCATTCACCGCTTCTGGAGGCAGGTGGTTCCACTGGTTAATTGTTCTAACTGCCAGGAAGTTTCTCCTTAGCTCTAGGTTGCTTCTAGGTTGAGATTAATTAAAAATCTTAACAGAAATGTTGATGCTGGCAGACACCCAGTAGCCCAATCCGCTAGGACCCCCAAACAGGGACCTTCCAGCCGGACCACCGGCCAGCCCACCTCTTCAAATCCGTTGTACTGCTCACAATTCGGGCAATCCCAGCAGTTGCGGTTCCCGTACGGCACCACGGTGTCCTGGTTACAAAACCAGCAGTTGACCGTCGTGTGGGTGGGCTTCGTCCTGTAGGTGGGGGGAAGCAGGAAGGAGAAATCAAGATCCATCCCCCCCCCCAAAAAAAGAGAGAGAGAGAGAGGAGGACAACCGGCCTCCCAACTCTAAAAGTTTGATGCTTCTTAGTTGTTTCCGCAGGAGATGTGCACCTTGACATCCATATTTTAAACCACAGTTTTTGCACACACAAGGAGCAGGCCTTCTGTCCGGGTGGGAGGGTTCAAAAGGAGAGCCCAATCCCTGTTTTATTCGTGTCCCCCCCAAACTGGCCTCCCTTTTAATCTTTTAACCATGCTTTGGGCTCTTTGCTCCAAAACAAAATGGCGTCCTGGAAGGCCGGTTGGCTGGAGAGGAGCCATTTGCTGGTTGCCTAGCAACCTTGCCACTTCCTGCCTGCTTCCGAAGGCGATCGGGTAGCATCTTGTGGGGTTACTTAGCAACGGTCTCACTAGGCTGGTCCAAGAGGCAGCACCACCACCCCCCGCCAATATTTTTTGCTGCCTCTTTGCTGGGAAGAAGTTTTCCTTCCTTCCTTTCTGCCCAAAAGCAAAAAAATAAAAATAAAGGAAGCCATTTCCTCCCCCTTCTGGATTAGATTGAGGGAGACAAGAGAGGACCAAGAGGAAAAGAGTGATGTCTGTGGAGGAAAAAAAACAACCCCAAAGATATCCCTTTGTTTGAAAAAAAAAAATCCAGCATGAACACTTGTGCAACACATGTGACCAGCTGCTAGGGCTAATTAAATAAAGGGGAGGGGGGTGGCAGCCCCAATTCACATCCTTGACAACTGCAGAAATGGCATCCAGCTATGGGGAAGCCAATCTCCCTAAAAAGCAGGGTTGGGTGCCAGCACCTGTTGGACTTCTGCCTGTCAGGCAGCAGCAAATGGCAGGGAGGACAGATTTCACAACATCTGTTCCCACATGCCCCTGCTCCAAGGGTGCAGCTGTTGGGCTCTTGTTGCGGGGTGTCTCCTGCTTCCTTGGTGACCCCCAACAGCTTTCAGTGTTCATAAAGCCTCTATTCTCTGGCTTACCTGCTTTCTGAAAGCAGGGGACTACAAAACCCATACTGTGTTTGAGAATCAAGGGACTTGCAGAGGAAGGCTACCCATAGCACATCAGCACCGAGAGGAACTCTTAAAAAAGTGGGTTTTTTTAAAAAAAAAATCCCACTCACTTTAAAAGCATTCTACATTCTTTTCATCAACTCTCCATTCAATTTACAAAATCCACCCTATTTTTCATGAGGATGTTGCCCATCACACTTTAAAATAATAATAAAAAAGACATCCCTTTTCTTTCTCTGGAGAGAAACAAACCAATCCTTGCCAAAGGATACTCTGAACAATTTAAATTTATTTTTAACAGCTAAATCAAGTAGTGAAATTGACAAGTCATTTCTTTAATGGTTAAATGGGCCAGTTTTAGGATTATTTTATATTAGGGTTCTCCTAATTGTCACAGGATGCTGTCAGTTGCTGGTGCCTGTTAGCTACAACTTTCCAACCCCATCAGAACGAAGAACATGCAAATATTAAAATAAGAACTTTAAAGAGATGCCCTTCTATTTTGCACATGTGCTTCTTCCCAACATTCATGCAAAAATATATATTTTTTTTAAAAAAGTTCCTATTCACAGCAGGACCAGACCTTCGTTTTAATTCAAGAAAACAAAACCTTTTGATTTTGTATTATTTGTTCTGCTTGCAGAATGACGTGCAAAAAAAAAAAAAAAAAGGGGGGGGGGGGAATCTCTACATCCACAGATTTAATTGCTCAAGTTCAGACTAATGGACAGAAATAAAAATGCTTCTATAGGAAAAAAAAAACTGCTTCAAATCAGCATTTATCACATCCCAAGGAGATAGTATCACCCCCAAGTTTGGTTTAACTCTTTCACAAAAATTGTTTCCTTGCTCCCCCAAATAATCTCTCCTCTGAACTGACCTTTTTTTTTTTATCTCGAGCAAGAAAAATACTAATATTTTCTGGCAGGCCACATTTTCCCCACAAACTTCTATCTCTGAATGATTTAAGCCACGATTGTGGCACAGATCTTGGCTCTGCTCAATGTTTTAACATTTCCTAAGGAAAATTCACCACAGGTTCTTAGCTGTTCCCAGCTAAGCGGGCTAGGGATGATGGGTCCTCCGATATTTAGAGGAAGACATACTGTATGTCAAGTCTCTGGGTCCTTTTTTATATATATATATAATAACTGCTGCATAAATATTCAAAGAATCTTTTCACTGTTCAACACCGTGACCGATTCTTGTAAAAACAGAATTGTCCCCCTTTTTAAAAAAACTGTGAACGGCTTAAAACACGTAGCAACTTCAAAGCAAAACGACCAAGTCAGTGTTAGATCTAATGCAACTAGTCCTCAACTTAACAGTTCATTTAGTGACCGTTTGAAGTTACAACGGCACTGAAAAAAGGTGACTTATGACCAGTTTTCACACTTATGACCATTAGGGTCACACGATCCAAATTCAGACGCTTGACAACCGACTCCTATTTATGACAGTCGCAGTGTCCCGGGGGTCACATGATTCCCTTTTATGGCCTTTTGACAAGCCAAGTCAACGGGGGAAGCCAGATCTTATTTTAGAGGGGGGCGCGGACCTGGCAGGTATTACTGAGACCTGGCTGGGCGTAGAAGGTGGAGTACCACTGGTGGACATCTGCCCGCCGGGCTTTCAGGCATTCCATCGGCCAAGGGCCCGGGGTAGGGGCAGGGGGGTAGCGGCCATTATAAGGGAGAGCTTTTGCCCAAGGGAGACCACTGTGCCTCAGATAGACGGCGTGGAGTCCCTCCTTGTGAAGTGGGGGCAAGGGGTGCAACTGGGCTTGTTGATTATATACCTGGCTCCCTGCTATGTATCAACAGCCCTGCCTGAGCTGGCTGACGTGATAGCCGGGGTGGCGGTTGGGACCCCCAGACTTATGGTCTTGGGGGATTTCAACCTGCCATCGGTGGGTGGGGCGTCGGCGGCAGCTCAGGAGTTCTTGGCTTCCATGACGGCCTTGGACTTGACCCAATTNGTGGCTGTGGTTGCCGGCGCCTCGGCATAGTCAGCTGACGCCATCGCTGACTATTGGGGGCGAAACTTTGGCCCCCTCAGAGAGGGCGCGCAACTTGGGAGTCCTCCTGGATCCACGGCTGACATTGGATGATCAGTTGTCGGCCGTGACCAGGGGGGCGTTTTATCAGGTTCGCCTGATCCACCAGTTGCGACCTTTCTGGACCGGGACGCCTTGCGCACAGTCACTCATGCTCTCGTCACCTCCCGCCTGGACTACTGTAACGCTCTCTACATGGGGCTCCCTTTGAGGAGCACCCGGAGGCTTCAACTGGTCCAGAATGCGGCCGCGCGGGCGGTGTTGGGAGGGACTCGTCGCTCCCATGTAACACCGCTGCTGCCGGAGCTGCACTGGCTACCAGTGGCCTTCCGGGTGCGCTTTAAGGTGTTAGTTACCACCTTTAAAGCGCTCCATGGCATCGGACCTGGATATCTCCGAGACCGCCTTCTGCCACAGATTTCCTCTCACAGACCGGTACGTTCCCACAGAGTGGGCCTCCTCAGGGTGCCGTCGGCCAAGCAATGTAGGCTGGCGACCCCCAGGGGGAGGGCCTTCTCTGTGGGTGCCCCCGTCCTCTGGAACGATCTACCCCCCGAGATCCGGATGATTCCGGATCTCTTTACTTTCCGCCGCGCCAAGACATGGCTTTTCCAGCAAGCGGGCCTGGCCTAGAGAGGATTTTAATAATTGGGTTTATTTTAAGGTAATTTTAAACAGGAAATCACAACGTTAAATATTTGGCTTTTAATTGGTTTTATTCGGCGGGATTGTGGGTATGTTTTTGTTTTTAAATAGGTTGTGAGCCGCCCTGAGTCCCGTTGGGAGAAGGGCGGGATATAAATCAAAATAATAAATAATAAATAAATAAATAAATCCACTTAACAACCGTTTGACTAATTTAACTGCAGTAATTCATTTAACGGCTGTTCGTAAAATGGGGCAAACTCACTAAACAAATGGTTCACTTAGCAACAGACAGTTAAACTGGGCTCAACTGCGGTCATAAGTTGAGGACTGACTACTGTAACTGGGTCTGTGTTAACTGTACGTATGTGTGCCTTGGTTTGTGTGATATGTGAATCCAGCACACTATGTATTCACTGGGATTGCAGAAAACAGGCTACACAAAACCTACTCCCCTTCCACCAGCCTACCTCTTAGGATTGTGGCCAGGATAAAATAGGTGGATTGAAAAGGTAAGAGTGTATTTCTAACAATAAATAGGGGTTTAGAGGGGGTTTTAATTATATTTTAATTTGGCCAAACTTTTAGAGGGGGTTTTAATTATATTTTAATTTGACCAAATTCAAATATTTCCCTTTTAACTAATTTTTAAACTTGTAGTGTTATTTTTGTATTTTTATCTGATTGTTAGCCGCCCTGAGTCCGCAAGGAGAAGGGCGGGATATAAATTTAAATAAATAAATAAATAAATAAATAAATAAATACAGCAACATCATTCAGGTTAGCGTCGCCTTTTCGCCAACCTATTTTACCCACCTCTTTCTAGTCTGCTGCCCTTGAATTTCCTTGTGGTCTCCCATCCCAAGTACCCAAGGCGACCTATTTAGCCCAGCTAAAATAAAACCAAATCTGTAGCAAAGTTGTCTAGCCTTTGGCTTTGTACGTGTGAAAAAAAAAAATCTCACATTAACATCTGTATTCCCCCCCCCCCCAGGAAGCTGGCTCCGGGAAGATGTGGGATAAATCTGGGATCGATCACACTGGACAGCTCGGGATTCTGAGGTTCCTTACAACCCACCCTTGAAGGTAGGCCTCCAATTGGCTAAGTTATCCTTTTTGCAGCTTTTGAGGTGTGTGTGTGTGTGTGTTTGTTTGTGGGGCCATTTCAGCGGCGATTCCTCTCCAAGCTCCTTTGAATCCACTATGCGTGCTCGCGCGCACACACACACACTCATTGTGCAAAGTTGAACCCGGAAGGGCTGCACTCCCAAGCTCAACGCACGTGGGCTGACAAGGCTGCAAAGCTCCCAGGGCGATTTCTCTCCCCTTCAGACACCCCGGTGTCCCCCCCCCCCACCCACACCGCCTTTGGAGTTACGTGGGGAGGGGGGCAATCCCTCCCAGTACATCCCAGGCTCTGTCCCCCCCCCCAACTTCTTTTGCGTTGGATAGCGTGCGAAGTGGAGGAATGCAGATTTAAGTCAAACGGGGAGGGAGGTTAAGACAGCGCGCCGAGTCCCTCCCCCGAGGTCGTGAGAACGCAAATCCTCCTCTGGGCCTGGTCGTGGGTCCAACCTACCCCCCCCACACACCCCTTTTTTTTCTTTCCCCAAATCACCCCGATCAGGAAACAGAGAAAGCACGGGGGGGGGGGGAAAGAGACTCGGCACGGCCTTCTTACCTTCGCGCGATTTTATAAAGCAAGACTCCGCCGGCGGCGGCGCACACGGTCACGCCGAGGCCCCCAGCCAGGCCGCGGGAGTAAGCCGCCACCAAAGCCCCCACGTCTTCCATTGGGGAATGGAGGGGGGGGAATTAAAAAGGAGGAAAAAAAGGAAAGAGAAAGAGAATCGCAGGAGAGGAAAGAGAGGAGAAGGAAGGGAAAAGGGTCGCCGCCGCCGCCTCCTCCTACTCGTGCGGGGGGGAGAAATCCATGAAAAAAGCCCCCGCGTGCATCGTCCGGACGGCGCGACTCTTGGAACGCGGAGTTGCCTTTTTAGAACGTTCGGCGCCCGCTTGGAACGTTGAGTCGCAGCCCCCCCGGGGGCTTAGAACGCGCGGCAGCCAATCGCGCGGCCGCCTGGGGGCGAACGTTCGAAGGGGAAATCCGGCGGCGGCGGCGGCTGGTTGGGATCAGCGCCTTTTTTCTTCTCTCTCTCTCTCCTCCTTCCCTTGGTTTGACCTTCCGCGGCTCCGCCTCTTCCACCAAGCC